GTATTGCTGAATCTGTATCCATCCAAATGTATTTCAGTCCTTTCTGTTAAGTGTTTTTGAGCATTTTGTATTTTACTCTTTTGCCTTCAGAAGGAAACTAGTTCAGGGGAGGTTTTGGGGAGCCGAGATGAAGAACCCGAGCAGAGGCACAGATCGCACAAGGACGAAGATCCAGAGAAGGAGAAGAGAAGACGGCACAGGGAGAAGAAAGAGCACAAATCCTCTGCTGCGGAAGAAAAAGAGAAGCATTTGAAATTAAGAAATCCTAAGGATGGGGAAGAAGATCGTATGTCTAGGAAACATAAAGAGCGATCACACCATGAGGATAGATATCACAAGGAGAACCATGAAAGAACAGAGGAAGTGGAAGGTGAAAAAAAGAAGAGAGACCGCAAGGTTTGCTGATTATTGAGATTACTTGTTAGTTTTAGAAGAGAGACCGCAAGGTTTGCTGATTATTGAGATTACTTGTTAGTTTTAGAAGAGAGACCGCAAGGTTTGCTGATTATTGAGATTACTTGTTAGTTTTAGAAGAGAGACCGCAAGGTTTGCTGATTATTGAGATTACTTGTTAGTTTTAGAAGAGAGACCGCAAGGTTTGCTGATTATTGAGATTACTTGTTAGTTTTAGAAGAGAGACCGCAAGGTTTGCTGATTATTGAGATTACTTGTTAGTTTTAGAAGAGAGACCGCAAGGTTTGCTGATTATTGAGATTACTTGTTAGTTTTAGAAGAGAGACCGCAAGGTTTGCTGATTATTGAGATTACTTGTTAGTTTTAGAAGAGAGACCGCAAGGTTTGCTGATTATTGAGATTACTTGTTAGTTTTAGAAGAGAGACCGCAAGGTTTGCTGATTATTGAGATTACTTGTTAGTTTTAGAAGAGAGACCGCAAGGTTTGCTGATTATTGAGATTACTTGTTAGTTTTAGAAGAGAGACCGCAAGGTTTGCTGATTATTGAGATTACTTGTTAGTTTTAGAAGAGAGACCGCAAGGTTTGCTGATTATTGAGATTACTTGTTAGTTTTTATTTTCTAAGGAAACCATATTTCCTTGATGGGCACTTCTTTTAATTCAGTATAATTCTTTTTTTCTTTAGGAATACAAGAGAGAAAATAAAGAAACATGGCAAGAGTGAAAGAGAGGATGGAAAACGAGTGGTAAGAAAGTTTTATTTGGGGTCTGAAATGAAGGAATATTATTGGAAGAGAAAATGCAACAAAGGAGAAACAGAAGTATTAGGAGACGAGAAAATAACTACCAATCAAAAGAAAGGCACAGCAAAAGTTACACATTTTAAAAATCCAAATAATTTCAGTAGGTTTCTAATGGAAGCTGGATTTTGTTTATTTTGTTTGTTTATTTTTTCTGCTGGTATGTGGGTTTGTATTTGGGCTTTTATTAATTTAATTTTGAAAAAAACAGTATTACTATGAAATGTTTAAGTTTATAATCAGGGAGCCAAAACTTTGCTCTAGGTAAACAAAATTAAATTTATACAAACACTCCTTCAGATACTGTGGCCAAATAACTTGGGATATAAATACCCTAAAAACTTAAAATAGGTTTTACTGAGCTGTGTATACCTTAATTTTAAGTAAATGACTTTCAGAAAGAGATGTTTAAATATAGAGTATTAGAATATTAAAGATTAAAAACTTAACATAGAATATTAACGATTTAAAACATAGGTACAAAGATTAATTCAATTATCTCATCGTTCAAGTTCATTGTCACATTTCAATGCTTTTCTCTTACCAGTTGTTTTATATATTGATACATTAGCACCACAAAAGTGATGACTCTTCAGCACCACATCTCAAAAGGCAAGCAAATCAAGAAGGTGGAGAAAATGTAAGGATCGCATACTATTCTATTGTTTTTTTAAAAACACAAATGTCCCAAAGAATTCTCTCTTCTGAGATAAATTCTGTTCATGCTTTTACATTCCCCTGCTACTTCATGACTTAACTCTGCTCTTTTTTTATTATTACTGTCTTAAGGAACTGAAAAAGGAAACCTCTTACGAAGATTATAATTCTGTGAATTATGAAGATGATTTTGAGGTGAGTGTGAACAATAACTTTTGAAAAGAGCTCAGACTAAAAATAGGTCATTCAAGTGGGATAGGAAGAGGGTATTTTGCATTGCATGACTTCATAGTCATATTTCGTTTGCTTGTTAATTCCATGTTTTGCCCACTTAAGTTGGGAGACTCTTTGCAGATTACAAGCAGAGCAACAAAATGTCCACAGTACAATTCCATTTACATATCAATACACAGTCTAAAAATTAAACTACAGATGACATCATTTCTGTTTTTAATAATTTATGAATGCCTAAGGCACCAGGCCAGAAACTGGGAGACTGAGAGTTTGGACCCTGCCTTAGGCACCAAGCCAGCCTGTATAATTCTTTATACAGATTTCTACACAAGGTTGCTTGTCAGGTAATGAAACTTCTAGAGAATGCTTGTACTTAAAAACCTTCAGCCATTCTAAATGGGGTTCTTTGTTGAAGTCCTGCATATTTGGAGGGACACATTAAGGACACCTACTTGAAAGCAAAGCACACAAATATTTTTAGAGTATTTTCGTAGTCATTATTGGTGCTGAATAATGAACAGTCATCCTTTTAAATCCATTGTGAGACAAAGAGAAAAACTTAGAAGACACGGCACTGTAGAATGGTGGTCCTCTAGTTTAGGTCCAAAAGAAAGGATGGTCCACGTAAGTACTGCAGGAGATCCCTGGTGTGGGCACCAGAATTAATATCTTTAAAATAGCATCTCACCTAAACAAGAGTTTGTCATCCTTGCTTGAAATCTCACAAGATTTTGACATTTTTCCTCCCTAAATCTTACAAGATTCCCACAGGAACACCAAAACTGCACGAGATTTGCCAACCTCACTACATTTCAGCCGCTTTTTAATTAATTATTTACTGTTGATTTCTGTGGAAGCTTTTTATACTAAGGTCCCTGCAGATGCCACTGGCTTATATGGTGGTCCTCAAAAACTTTGGATGTTCATGTAGTGATCCACATAAAGAAAACAATAGGGGACTGCTGTTGAAAACAAAATATATTGTGGGTCATCTGAAGCGTCCCTGTTGAAAGGGATAGCCTGTTTGTGTTTTTTTTAAAAAAGTGATCACTGCTATTCTTTTTGAAGGACTATGAAGATGATTTTGATGATTTTGATGATGAAGAGGATGAAAATAGCCAGAACACAGAAAAGGAAAAAGAGGAAGCAGGAGGGGGATTACAGAAAGTTACTGTAACTAAGAGTTCAGAAATAGAAGAAATTCAGAAAGCAATTAATGAGGAAAATGAAAAGATTGAGGCCTTTCTTCCCAAGTCAAGAAAGAACGAATATCTTCCAAAAGACCATGAAAAGAAACCAAGAATAGGTATGTGATTAGGTGCTAGCTTAAGGTAGAAATTATTTATTTACTTCTATTTATATGCTGCTGCTTTCCTGAAGACTCTGAGCAGCAATGAGACATTCGCAGCAAAGGGGAAGAAAAGAACACACTGTTTAAGAGAGAGGTGTGCCAATTTTCAGGGCTGAGAGCCATGCCTGGCATTTGGGGGGCAGCTCAAAAGAGAGGCAGGGGCAGGATGAAAAGAAACTTAAAATTCCCATTCCATTAACTGAGTACAGTCAGTATCATCACTTTCCAAGTACTTTTAATTTTTTTTGTCCATCCCATTGAAAATTAAAATTCAGCAACAGCTTGGAGTTCTGTGAACAGCATTCAAGGGCTTGGTAGGGTGGATGCTAACCACACACCCAAGATTTAACCTGGCATCTCCTAATCTGTCGCCTTTCATTGGTGCTGGGATCACTTTTTCATACGGGCGGAATTCCGAGCGTTTCAGATTTGCAACAGTTGGAGATTCCAACTTGAGGAAGGCTGATGATTTAAGGCTCTGGCCTCTCCTTGTAAATGAAACTAAGGATAAACAAGTTGTTGGCTGGGTTAGCTGTTCGCACAACGGTAGCCAGCTTTTAACCCCAGTCAAAATGATATTTATTTATTTCATTTTGGCGAGACTTACCTTCTTCACTCGTTATAATTTTCTCAAGACATATAAGCCCTTCTGCCATATATCTCTCCTTCTGTTAGTACAGCCTCAGGCAAATATTAGGACTTTTGTAGGCTCTTTGCAAAGGAGCTTTTAAAAGTAGGGTCCTCTAGCTATTCAAGTAATGAGATTTAGGGAATAACTCTAGATACGCATCAAAGCCTCAGTTACTCAGCCAGCCTGGGGAATTCTGGGAGTTGAAGTCCACACATCTGAAAGCTGCCAAGGTTGAGAAACGCTGCTCTCCTGTGCTGAATACTCAACTAGTTTCCTAAATCAGCCTGTTGATAAGAATAAGCTGATGAGATTGCAAGCATGGTTCTTTCCTCAGGCTGTTGTTCTAGATTACTGGCTCTTCCCATTGTCTTCTCCAGATAAATCTCACAGGCTTTAATGTCTGTTCTTTTTCCTTAGTCTTCCACAGCAGCCCTGTGCCTTGCTTTGTTGACTCTTACTCAGACTAGAGACACAGCATTACATGTCCTGTACATCAGTAATTTCCTGCATGGGGAAAGATAGCATAACACGGATCAGGCTAAAAGAATACAAATGGAAAGAGGCCACCCTTGCTGATTTGAGGCTATTCAGTCCAGGTCAGCACAGCTTGATAGATATGAACTCATCCTAATTGAAAAAAGCATTGTTATTTTTTGTTTTCATATAATAAACTTAGCAGTCACGTACCAGATTTATTCCACCAAATTTTTAAGATTTATTTTGATTTGCTGTATGTACACGCATATTAAGCCCATCCGTGAATAACCTGACCCTCGAATTTTTAACCGAAATATCATGAAAAATACGCCACCTGTGGATAAGCCAACCCAAATTTTTCATGGTATTTTGGTTAAAAATTCAAGGCTCGGGTTATCCACGGATGGGCTTATCCGCAAGTATATATAGGAAATATAGGTGCTTTTTAAAAAGTATTACCTTATATACTCGTAGATAAGCTGAACCCAATTTTTTTTTTAGGTGCGTTTTGGCACCTAAAATTCTCAGCTTATTCATGAGTATGTATAGTATATCTTGTTTCCCTCCCAACAGAGGGCACAAGGCATATACTGGAGGTAATATACAATAGTACAGTTAGTGTAGTACACAGTAGTATATAGTATATTCATATACATTCTTATGTTACAGAAAGGCAAGTGTCGCCGGCTCAGTGTCCCACTTCTGGAAAATTCATTGATTTCCACATGGCCAAACAGCGGCAAAGCATCAGAAAAATTGCCGATCAACAGAAGTAGGTGGCCTTAATATAAACCACTACATGTAACTGTTGGGAGATGGGTTGTGTGTGACATTTAAATTCGTTTTTGTAATGTTATAATTGCTGTACATCAAACAAAGTTCAATATAGTATTTTGTTCATGTATAATGCGTCTAAATTGATTGAATGCAGCATATCTAAATGGGTCAAAATAAGAAGTTTTCATGGTTCTGGGACTCAGTGATGTAATAATTTTTTCCAAGGCTACTTTGTATATACAAAGAATTGTCTCCTAATTCAGTGAGTTTTTGTTGTTGTTTATTTGCCTAGGATATCCCCAGTAAGAGAAAAAGCTGTATTTTTCTTAACAATATCTAGTGATTCTTACACATTTTAATTTTACCATTAGTCATTTCTAGTACTGTGTTGGGTTATTTCCGAATCTCTTTTAGAAGTGAAAAAAATATGTCAGGTTTTCTAACTTTAGCTTTTCTGAGTAACTTCTGATACCCACATTGTTGCAGTTTCCTTCTTAGAATGTATATCTATTATTAGTTCCTATTATCACAGATTTTATTCAGGAATATTAGCTATCACTTTTTATTTTAAAAGTACTGTAGAACCATTGTATATATCATACTTAAAAATTTTGTGTGTGTGTGTGTATGCCTTAAAATTTAAGTATGAACATAACAAACTTTGCACACACATCTGCAACCCAATTGCTCTCTGTGTAATGTGTGAAATGGCATTATTGAGCGTGCAATGCAGTACCACTATGAAAACAACAGAAAGCATAGAAAGGAAACCTTTTTTATTGAGAAAGCGTGTAATTGCCTTAAATTCTTCATTTGATGTCAAAGCATATTGTACTGTAATAACCAACATAAAATGTTTTTTCAGTGTAGATGTCTTGAAGTTGAATGCTTCTTACTTTAAGAGAGAGAATATTTCTAACCAGTGAAAGTTTATTTCTGCTTAATAGACATTTTGCTGTCTTGTGACATATTTTTCAAGGAAACGTAGCTTTGAACTTCTCCGTCTCATTGACCTGGACTTTTCAGTCAGCTTCTGTTTGTTGGATTTGCCTCCAGTAAATGAATATGATATGTACATTCGAAACTTTGGGAAAGTAAACACCAAGCAGGTATGAAATAAAATATTATTTACCCCAATTATTCACATTTATTCCATTTTATTTTATTAAAGGGTGTCAGTATCAACAGATCCTTAAGATGCATTTCTGCTAAAGGAACTGACAGTGAGGGATATGAGGTGACAGAATAAGAGAAAAATAGCAGTACAGTTCAGGAGTTGTAGATCACAGCTGGTACAGTCTTTAAAATGTTACAAAGTAAGTCTGACAACTGGTATATGCAGGGTGTGGTCAGAAAAGTCAAGATGGTGGCAACAGTGATGCAATCAAAGCTCCACCCATTTTTTTTATGTATGGACACCCCTGTCTGACAAAAAGGAATCTACAAGATTTCAGTGCTTATATGCGTATTATATATGTCAAAAAGTAAATGTGTGATTGATCCTGCCACTTTCTGTTACGCTCTAATACTAATATAAAAGGACAGAAGGACTCATCTAAACGCATCTTTAGATGTTGCAATTCATTCTCATAAGATCTGATAGTCCTTATTAGTCAGCAGCTTCCATTTAGCATTCCCAGGGAAAACAAGGCTGCCTTGAGTTACATATAGAAAGGCAGGATAAAAATCTAATAATAATAATACAAAAACAATAATAATAAATAGCCATTCATTCCAGTCCTCTCAGTATCATCCAGGCATCAGCGTGACAGAAGTCAGAATTAACATGCTGAACTTTCCTTAATTCAAAACAAATAATTTTCCATTTTAACACTAAGCAGTTGTGTGCGATGTTAATATTCCTGTTCACATATTCTTTTTTAAATATCCAAAGCATATGTTAATAAATCTATCTTCTTAACATTTTAACTGTGGATAATAAACACATTTTAGTAACCAAATATTTGTCTTCTTGAAGTAATATATCTTGGAATATAGCACACACACACACACACGCGCACATATATATCCATCCATCCATATATATAGATATGGATATGGATATGGATATGGATATAAAATGCTAATAAATACAGTAGAGTCTCGTTTCACCAACCTTCGCTTATCCGACATTCTGTCTTATCCGAAGCCCCTAAAAAAACCACAACAACACGCATAAATCAGCGATGAGAAAAGTGTGCTGCTTGTTTGCGAGTGTGAGGGTACTCTTTCTTGTTGCTCCTGACAGTGTGGTGCCACAACGCAAAAATCGATTGCAAACAGGTGCAGCGGATCTGTTGTTGTTTTTTTTAACCGCACTCAATTGTTACTGTGTGTTATCCGACATTTTCGCTTATCCGACGTTTTGCCGGCCCGTTTATGTCGGATAAGCAGGACTCTACTGTACAGGTAATTAGAGATGAGAGACAATTCTTGCCAGTAATTTCATTTTTCTATTTTAGGCTTATGTGCAATGGAATGAGGATAATCTGGACAGAGACATTCAGACAGAGGAAATAGAGACTCAAGAAAAATGGACACAGCATCCTGGAGAAACTGCCCTTGTGTCTGGAGGTGATTAAAAAATAATGATTCAAATTCAGGAAAATCCAAGAAAATCTTCCTTGACTTGATTTATTTCACCCAGCATTACTTGCAGCCCACTTATAGTAAAACCTTTCCAGGGCAATTAAAGAGGGGGAAAAATCAGTTTCAAACAAAATTATTGCTGGAACACAACCCCCAAACTGAGAAGCGCATGAAAACAAGAGGTTTGGCAAGGGTTGTTGAAGATTGCAGCTAATGGACACAATAAATCTCTGGTGGAAGTTCACACCAGGGGTACCGGCCCATTACTAAAAACATGTTTGCCTTGGTAGTGGCTGAGTTAAGACTCAGGCAAGCAGACAGGCAGATGAGAGCCCTCTGCTGAAACCCTTAAAGAACAATCTCCAAGGGTAGGCAGTTAAAAAGAAAACGTCGGCTTTATATCTCCTTACTGTTTTCTCCAGCATAGCCAAAATGGTATGAAAGTTACCAAGTAAGCAGATACGATTCTTTGTTTCCTTCTTGTGACCTCATATCTCATTTTAGGTCCCAAAAGCAGCCATGATGTAACTACTATCACGCCAAAGATAGATTCCCAGAGACTAGCAAACTTCCTGCGATCGGCTTGTCAGGTATAATTTTATATATATATATTATTTGTTATTCAAATTATTGTAAGTGATCAGTAATAATAGCTAATAATAGTACATATACGATGATGGTAATTTTTTAAAAATGGTAATGTTGAACTTAGCTTGGTGCAATGTATTACCACATATACAGCGACACAATGATAATTTGAAGCAATTTCCGTATGCTTGTTTTTGTCCCTTGGGTTCTCCTGTAAGGGATGATTTTCTGTCATTAGGCAGGGATAGGTGCTTAGAGAAACGTAAACACCTCTATGGCCATTCCACAGATTCCATTTTCTTGCACTCCTTGAAAGCATCAGGGAAACTGGGTTGCTGCATCAAGATCAGCAGTGCCATAATTATCTTGGAAGTCTGGGTTATCAATACTGACAGGAAGTTCCAACTGTTTTATAAATATTATTTTTGAAAGGTGATAGAAGTTTTACTTGAGGAAGATCAAGTAGCAACACAGCCCAGGCGGAATTTAAGATCACGACCATCCAGTCTGTCTATTAGTGATAGGTGCTTCCAGTTAAATACGAATCTTCCCTTCTTGAATGGTAAGAATATTTTCCTCTCCATCATATGAATGTAAGACTATAAGACCTTCGATAGTCCAACACTCTGTTTTTCACAGTAGCCAACCAGATGACTCTTGGAAGCCCACAAGCAATAAAGGCTGGATATCAATCTAATAATAAAAACAAACACACATCATTTCTCATCCCAGCTCCTCACCTCTTTATCCTCTTCTTCAGTTACTCTGTCCAATAATCCATTCTGGTTTCCACCAGAATTTAACTGCGCGTGAAAATAAACCTTATTTTGATGTTTGGTCTTCAGGCATTATACCTCATCTATTTTCTTGTCTGTATTTCTTCTCTTCTTAAGGAACTTTTGCACATAGGACTCCAAAATGTCTTCAAAGGTTTGGCTTTGAAGGATGATAAAGGTTTAGAAAGGATAATTCTTTTGTCCCTCCTTCAAACATCTGTGCTCCAGCTGAAACCACAGCCCTACCTCCATCCCTTCTCTTAAGTGAAAAGAGAAGCATTGAGTTAGCCAGACTCTTGTCCCTTCTGTTTCCTGCATTTTGACTTGTTTTTTCCCCCAACAATGCAAATAATACAGGCTTCACCCCACTTTTCCCCTTAGGTCGGAAGGTATCCTGTCTGCATATCTCACAGGCTCAGAGGCAGTCACTGCTTTCAGTTCATGGGTTTCCTGAACAATCAAATGACCTGCCACTGGACAGCAAATACATCATCTGCGTGTGGAATGTTTGGCAGCCTTCTAGTCCTCAGAAATTACTGCTTTGTGAATCTCAGGTATGCTTCACGGTAGGGCTTCCTCAAAACTTGGAAATGTTGGGAGTTTGTTCTGAGCACTGTCATAAAATGATGACCATGGGGGAGATAGACTTGCTCCTCCACAAAATAACTGCCAAGGTTGGCAGACTAAAAGGCTGTTCCTTATTGCCTCCTTTACCTCTACGGGATGTTCCCTATCATCCCTTAGCTTACCATTGCTTTGTTTTCTGGAGAAGTGGGCACACAACTATTCAGATTTTCTTTTCTAAGAATGTCTGTGGTGCCCATAAAGTTGGTACTCTGCCAGCATGCCAGCTTTCCTTTTATTTACTTTAATTAAAGGAATGTGTTACAATGAAAGTCAGATGGGGCAAGGGGCCTTGTAGACACCAAGAAATGTAGCCATTGAGAAATGCCCATAGATGCCATGGTGGTGAAACTATACACAGGGAGTCAAACTGAACATGAATCAAGTACTGGAAGAAGCCTTTACATTTCTCTGAACACAAATCCTTACCTGGCTATTTCTGTTGCATTTGGATGATCCTGCAAAATGATAAATCAGATTACGAGTTCAGAATAGATGGTAGACCAACAATACCTGTTACAGTTTCCTTTTAAGTTTCAAAATGGCCTCTCGGCAAAAAGAGAAAAAAAATAGGACATTATTATTCTGTACTGCAGAGTGCATCCACCATGTCTCAGCTTCTGTAGGAGGTGGGCGTTAAGTATCTGAACAATAGTGAATATGCTCTAAATAGGAGGTGGCGAGATGCTTTATATGATATATTCTTATTTTCTTTTACTTCGTGGTTCTGAGATATGTTCTTCTGCCCTGTAGGTGACATGTTGCTGCTTTAGTCCTTGTAAAGCTACTTTGGTGTTTGCTGGAACAGTTGATGGTTCAGTGCTGGTGTGGGATCTCAGAGAGGACTCAAGGATGCATCAGTGCATGAACATTAATGAAACAGACTGGACCTTTCGATCTGCAACGTTTTCTACTGGTTAGTTAGTGTGCCTTGAATGATACCATTACATCTATCTCAGTCTTGATTGGGCAGTGTCAGTTTGGAAGAAGTTTCCACTTCCACTTTAGTTTCTTTTTTCTTTCTTCCATGTCAGACAGATGCGTTATAAATAGTAAAAGGCTAAGCCAAGGGAGGACCCAGGGTAGGAAAACAAAGTTCATTAAGGTAGCCATCCTGTTACTACTTACCTGAGAGTGCTATTTAGCTGAATGGGAGAACATACTGATATATACACAGCAAGTGACTGTCAACTTTTTTAAAGGGATACAAAGGCAGATCAGCTGAAACAGATTAAAACACATATTTGATGGTTCATATCAACTGCTGCTCCATTGGGAGCATCAACTCCAGGTGAACTCTTCATCTTTGCAATTGATTCTTGAAGGGGATCCAGGCTGGCCAGTTTTTTCTTTCCAGATCCTTCTGTTTTCTAATAGAAAACCAATGGGTGTTGGTTAGAACAAGAATCCTTCAACATTGTCTTTTGGGCACATTCCTCCAAAAGGGCTGAATGTCATACCCCCATTAATTTTAACACACACACATCCCTGATCCTGCCCTGCCTAGATGACCTGAAAGAATAACATGGCCTTGTATTATATTGAAGACCACTGAGCCTGGGGCTGAGGAGGTGGACTTAGTTAATGGCTATTGCATTGCATTTCTGCTTCTTCCTTAAATGCAGATGGAGTGTTTACCCCAATAAATCATACTTGTCCTGTATTGACCATTGAACCTGTCTCAACCTCTGTCTTCAAGGAGCAGAACTGTGGGCTCTCCTATCTCTCTGTTCAGGAAGGTATGTAAACTCCTGGGTGCAAATCTAATATTTGCTAATATTCTTTCAAAAGGTTAGTTGGTCCATCCTGGACCATCCAGAAATCCAAGTCTGGAAAGGGTCATGCAGACTGGGAATTCCAGTCCTAATTCACCTACAAGCCACTCTGTTGGAGAAGGAGGCCCTGGGTTCTTGGAAAAAGGGCAGATGAATAAGAAGGGTCATTGCTGCTGCTGTTGGTTAATGTATATTTGATCCTGATGTTTTACGGCATGACATTCTATGGAACGTTTGGTTGCTTTGGCTTGAGGATGCCTGATTGGGGGAGGTTTCATATATGTTTAACAATCTAGTAAACGATCAATATTGCTGCAGTGCTTTGCGTGTCATACCTGCGTGGCCTTAGGAGAGCAAGGCGTTTCCGCGCAAAGGTTCCGCAGCAGTTTGAAACCATCTCAGGCTTCCATGTTCTCACAGCATCAGGTGTGCTGTGCTGCTGAACTGAGTTACTTTGGTTTAGTGTACCACGCAAGGAATCACGAATGGTCCACTTTGAAATACTGAATGTTGCAACTCGGGGAGCTTTGGAGGGGTTTGTTCACCGAAACTGATGCACCACTCCCTGACCTCTGATACATTTGGCAGGGACCTTGTCAGCCAACCAGATCTTAATCCTTCTAATCAGCCACACAGTCCCTGTAAAAGGCTTAATTTTCCTCTTATATAAGCAGCCTTTATCAGCCCATCCAGTCTTAATCCTTCCAGTCAGTTGCTCGACAGTTTAACAATCCTTGTAAAAACTCCTTCTCTTCGCTCTCCGTTCTTCCATAAAGAATCTTCTGACTACAATCCTGCTGCAGCTCTTAGAAAAAATACCTGGCTGCTGAACCCGAGCCATGCCACTGCGGCTGCTTTCAGCTGGCATTTATAGGGAGGAAAAATGCTGTTTCCGTGGCCAGGTAGCTTTCCCCTCACTCCAGGGGTTCAGATTTGGAGGGGCCAAAAGCATGCAGCTTTTCTTGGCAGTGCTGGTAGGCAATAGCAGCATATGGTTGCCCTTTCTCTGCAGGACGGGTGCATGCTGTTCCTTGCCTCTTCCTGGTGTTGGATCAGCAGGAGTGAAGGCAAGAGCGTCCCTGGCTTCAAAATGTTTTAGAGGAATTGGGGAGTGCTAACGGTGCCCCTAATTTTCAGGGGTTAGATGTAGGTGGGAAAGAGCTAGGTAAAAGCTCACCCATGGCTTCTGCATATCATACTGACTTACCCTCTTCCCCAACAGAAATGCTTGGACTTTCATTTCAGATTGCTTCAATGGATGAAAATGGGACTCTTAATCTATGGGTAAGTTATTTTCTTAGTTAATCCTGAGTTGATGCATCATAAAATCCAGGCTTTTACAGGGTTTTTGTTGCAGGGCAAGTCACATATTCCTCCAACCCGATCCCCTTTGCTCATTTTAAGGACAGCTTTACAGATATGTTTAAAGGTTACCTTTCATTTGGGACACGTTGTTTTCTTTTCCAACCAATTAAGGCATCCATTGCAATTGAAAGTGATGTTTTTAAATGTCATGACTATAATTCTTAATTACTGTGTTTCTAAATCTTAATTTTTAGTGGGATTTACAAGCAAAAGCTTCATAATGCACTTTTATGCCTGCCTCACTTTTTCATCATCACTAGTGTCACGCTTCTGGTATTTCGACAGGTTTATTCCCAAGAGTTTTAAAAGGTTCAGCTTTTTCCATCACATCATTACAAACAAGAGCATCTGTATATTTCTTAACATCTGTTCTATTGGCATTCCACATCACTATATCCTGTTATCTTTCAGTATTAGGCATTTTGACAGTGATGGGAAATATGAGTTGTATATGGTGAATTATCCCACAAGTCCATGGTTACCATGATAGGGAAAGGAAAGCTGACCTAAGCACAAGTAATGGGGAATAGATCTGCAAACTCTACTTTGATTTGCATAGCAGGAAGTAAAGGAATGAGAGCTTAAACTGTGGTGAGCTACACTGTAGACACAGGTTTGTGAGTAGACTTGGGAAGCTTTACTAGAAGTATATACCAGAAGTTTGTGTTGTTTTCTCCTTTTTGAGGTTAATTTTTGACATTTCCTAGGTGGTTGTTGAACTTCAGAAAGGGGATTTGGCTGGCTCACAAAATGATTTAGGTAAGTAAATTTAATTAGAGAGCTCCAGTTGGACAGGGGTTCCTAAACCTTTTGCTCTCACACCTCCCTTTAGTGTAATCTTAATGTGCACACCTCCTCTAAAAATCCAACACCAAAATGAACACAAATGAACAATGAAAACAGTACAGTGAAACTTTGGGAAACATGGTTTTATAGTAAAAATGTACAACTAAAAGGTTCTTCACACCTCCCCTGGACTATGTCTGCACCTCCCCAAGGGAGGTACACCTCACATTTTGGGAAACCCTGCAGTGGGTGCAGCGATTAAGGCACTGGACTGGGAGCAGGGAGATGCAGGTTCTATTTTTTTAAAATTATTTAATCAATTTATATAGAGAGCCAGTTTGGTCTAGTGGTTAGAGCTCCAGGCTAGAAACCAGGAAACGGTGAGTTCTAATCCCTCCTTAGGCATGAAAGCCGATTGGGTGACTTTGGGCCAGTCACTCTCAGCCCATGACATCAGGCTCGGGCAACAAGCTGGTTGGTCAGTTCCTGTCACCACCAAAACAGATCAACTTTTGGTTGATCTGAAAAAAACAGACCCTGCACCTGCGGGAAAAATGCTAGGAAGAGAGAGAGAGATTTAATCAATTTATATAGCCGCTCATCTCAACAAGTGACTCTGGGCGGCGAACAGTGTTAAAAGTAGAACAATGACAATGACAACTACAAAAAATATGTAACAGCCAAGAGAAATGCAACAACCATTAATCATGAATACAACCAGGAGATGGGTCTCTCCATACGCTTAGGGTCCCAGAACCAGGTCTGTAGGTTGGGGCCAACCAAATCTAGTCTAAGGAAGGTTCTCGTCCTCCCTTCAGCACAGAAACCAGCTGGGTGACCCAGGACCAGTTACTCTCTCAGCCTGAAACCTGCATCAGGCTCTGTAACAAGGCAGCTGAAGAACAAAAGCCTTGTTGCATCATGCATTGGTGGCCTAGCTACGTGAACTAGGGAAGCACAGGGCAAGCAAGCGGACCCTGCAGTGAGTGGGACAAATGCTGTGAAAAACAAGAAGTGCATCTCATTCAGGAACTAACTGCTTATGGACCAAGAGGGAATTTCATGGAGAGAAGAGCGGTGCTGGCAATCATTAAGGATTGGAGCTGTTCTGGACAGTTAACAGGAGAGATGTATACCATACTGAATAAGAGTATATATTTGCACTCGTAAGAGGTGTGGAGGTGCTCTTATTTTTCTGCCTAGTTTACTTTGTGAACAGAACTTGTGAACATAAACTGATAGCTCATAATTGGATTTAGAATTGCCCTGCTATTTAATTATATCAGTACTAATAAGTTGTTGCTATTATAATTATTACAATGCATTTTATTACTTTCAGGGTTAATTCCTGGGGGGAAAATTAAATTGGTTCATAGCTCTACCGTTCAGCTGAATTGCAGGTAAAATATATAGAACATTACTTCTTAATGTGATGGTTCCTTGAAACCACATACAGTGGGGCAAAAAAGTATTTAGTCAGCCACCAATTGTGCAAGTTCTCCCACTTAAAAAGATGAGAGAGGCCTGTAATTTTCATCATAGGTATACCTCAACTATGAGAGACAAAATGAGAAAAAAAATCCAGAAAATCACATTGTCTGATTTTTAAAGAATTTATTTGCAAATCATGGTTGAAAATAAGTATTTGGTCAATATCAAAAGGTCATCTCAATACGTTGCTATATATCCTTTGTTGGCAATGACAGAGGTCAAACATTTTCTGTAAGTCTTCACAAGGTTTTCACACACTGTTGCTGGTATTTTGGCCCATTCCTCCATGCAGATCGAGAACTTGCACAATTGGTGGCTGACTAAATACTTTTTTGCCCCACTGTATGTGGTGAGAACTTGCACAATTGGTGGCTGACTAAATACTTTTTTGCCCCACTGTATGTGGTGAGAACTTGCACAATTGGTGGCTGACTAAATACTTTTTTGCCCCACTGTATGTGGTGAGAACTTGCACAATTGGTGGCTGACTAAATACTTTTTTGCCCCACTGTATGTGGTGAGAACTTGCACAATTGGTGGCTGACTAAATACTTTTTTGCCCCACTGTATGTGGTGAGAACTTGCACAATTGGTGGCTGACTAAATACTTTTTTGCCCCACTGTATGTGGTGAGAACTTGCACAATTGGTGGCTGACTAAATACTTTTTTGCCCCACTGTATGTGGTGAGAACTTGCACAATTGGTGGCTGACTAAATACTTTTTTGCCCCACTGTATGTGGTGAGAACTTGCACAATTGGTGGCTGACTAAATACTTTTTTGCCCCACTGTATGTGGTGAGAACTTGCACAATTGGTGGCTGACTAAATACTTTTTTGCCCCACTGTATGTTACTGCTGGCAGATTTCCCACGAGGGGATAGTAGTTCTCTAGAAGCTCATTACATCAGGAGGGCAGAAAGTGGAGGAAAGCTTGAATATCACAGCTCTGTTCATCATGCTCCCTTGCCAGAAAGTTTGCTTGGTCATTTTACAGCATAAAGTGCAATGCAAGCTATGTGATTGATTGAGTGGTTGGATGGTGCTGGAGAGAGCCAGGTTCAAGTCCATTGTCAGCAGCCGAAGCTCCCGGGGGGCCTTGGGACCCATCACTTTTTCTAAACCCAACCTACCTTGTGGGGTCATTGTGGGAAGAAATAGGAGGAGGGAGGGCCTCTCTGAGGGGCGTTATACATCTGACAAATATATACACATGAATGCCTGTCCAAATGGGAATCTCTACCGGAAAATCAGATCAGTGGTCCTTCTGATCAGTATTAGTTCGTTCACAGTTTGCAGGAAATCAGTCTAAATATGATGATAGATGTAAGTCTAAGAAATAAATTGCATACTTTACATGTTGAAAGGCAGACCAAGCTTTATGTTGTGGATGGAGTAACAAATATGCCTTGAGAGAGGAATGCCCGCTTACCACTTTCTCTAAAAAGTAAACCCTGTTATTGTGAACAGGATTATCATAGCTAAAATTTCTAGGAAAAGAGGGAAACCAGATGGGGAATTGAATGGAATACCCTGGCTTAGATTGGCTGGTTAACGAATCTAAGAGGATCTATCTGTACTTCAATATTTGTTGCAGTTTCACTTGTTAATATATATTTCTTTTGCATTCAGCATTTCTCCAAAAGATTACACATTCCTGGGGGTCCCCCAGACACTGAACATTAAATTTCTGCCTTCAAATCCTAATCATTTTGTTGTTGGAACAGATGTTGTGAGTAATACTTTTAATCTAATTTCATTCTTGCCAATTTTTCTAAGAATAGTAGATTTTTAGAGTGGCATCTTAGGCATGAGGTTGTTATTACAAATGGCTGCATGGTCAGAATCTGGACAAAGCCCACAACTCCTCCTGAATTATTCCTTGCAATATTTCACCAAATGTAACAGTGACCTTTCCTTTTCCTTTTCAAAACTTCACAGGGTGTGGTGAACCACAGCACAAGGCACGAGCTGAAAGTCCCTCCCAAGTGGTTCAAACCCCAGCAGGGGGGTCTGAGATCAACCCGAGTTAACACAATTGATTTTTCGCCTTTTGGAAAGCCAATCTTTTTGGTATGGATGCTCTTCTGCGTTCTTGATTGGAATCATTCAGGCTGTGTAATGCCAGTGACAGTCTGAAAGTTGGATTTGAACTGTGAATAGCCATGGATAACTTATCTATAGAGTAGCCATTGCAGTCCTGGATTAGGTTTTGTGCGTTTTATCCAGATGGTCAGATAGAGCAACATCAGGAGTGGGGCTCAGATGTTAATCTCTGCTTGCTAGAGTTCATTGTTCACATCTTCTGTATTGACATGTTCAGTCAGTCAAGAAGCTTATTGCATGACTCAGACAAGCAGATATTAATGTGATCCTACAGTTCTTCCTCCAGCTAGAAACTGAAGCAGATGAGGTTCAAGTATGAGAATATTAAAGAAGAAATCAAAAGTGTTTCCTTCTATTTTACAGATGAAAAGTGAAGGTCTTAACAATGTCTGTGCTGTATAAATGTTAGCCAGAAAGGCTGTCAAAGCAGTCCACAAATGCCAGCAATGAAACATTCCTTGCTAGAAGCTTATAGCTGACGAGATATGACCCACAAC